AAGCTAGAGGATTTCTTGTGGCACATGATTTGATGTGACTTATGGTAACTAAGCCCTTGTTACATTCCTGTTGTGACAAGTCACAGTATGTCTTCTGTGAAAAAGGTTTCACTACAGTACACAACACCACTGGGTGTTCTCAGAAGTGAAACACACTTAAAGACTTCCACCACAGCAGGCTCCAAAACACTGATTTAAACTTAAACTAACATACCAATATACATATACTTGCCTTCCAAGTGTACACTCCAAGTCATGGAGAGTACATGTAGATAACATCTAACAAACAAAACTGCTGACACCACATGCCATTGAGGTTCTTTTATTTACCTTAATGATTGTACTCATTTCCTTTGACTGTCCTGATAAAAAGACAAAGCTTCAGACCTCTTCTTCTTTCTCCCTTATGCTAACACAGACTGTTCTGCTCTCAGTCTGGATTACTTTGGTCCTGAGGATGAGAGCAGGTCCAGCAGTAGCACCCAAAGCCAGAGTCCCCCTCCAGGTAAATAACTACACCTTTCAATTGTGATACTTAGAGCAATACAGAGATGAGCCTAGATCAGGGGTGGACAAATACTTTTCTCAAGAGGCCACATTAGAAACTGGGACTGTTGTGGAAGGCCAGACCATTAAGCTGAACTCAGTTCTGCTCAATATTAATCTTATGTATTTAATTCAATGTTATTTATATAATGCCAAATCACAACAACAGTCTCCTCATGGCACTAAATGTTATAAGGTAAAGATCCTACAATAATACAGAGAAACCCCAACAATTAGACACCCTATCAGCAAGCACTTTACTGACAGTGGGAAGGAAAAACTTAATTTTAACAGGAAGAAACCTTCAGCAGAACCAGACACAAAGAGGGGCAGCCATCTGCCACGACTGGTTGGGAGTGGGCTCATCTCTTTATAAGCTTTTTAATGCATCCACCCACAACAATCCCAATTTCATTTGGGAACTTGGGAAAATTATTTGCCCACCCCTGCCTTCAATGCTGCTTGTGGTGTATGTCTTGTTATAACGAAACACTTTTGTGTAAAGGAATTGATCCAGAGCTGTATGAGTTGACCATCAGCAAGCTGGAAATCAACACTAACAGCAGCCACCTAGAGGACACTTTGAATCGCCTGATGTCCTCCGCAGAGAAGACGAGCATTTCAGTGAGGTCAGTGAATCTGATATATGATCTGTTTTTTGTTTTAAATTGAAATAATTCAAAGCCAGTTTAACTGTTACTGTTTGGTTGTGTGTGCTCTCTGACAGAAAATTCCTGCCGAGTGAAGAGCTGAGTGAAGAGGCTTCCAGGGTGATCGCTGTGCTTCCTAACTTGTCTTTCATGCAGGCCAAGGTCCTCATGTTCCCAAGCGTGCTCCTACCCAAAGTATGCACTTCTCCAAAATGACAACACATTATTTATATTTACAACAAACTGGATTGTGAAAATTTGAGATATTTTTTTTAAACACACACAGATAGAAGAGCTCAGAACATTTGATAACACAACTGATCATTTTAAACACATTGTGATATGATTGCTTGTGTGCAGAGTTCTCTTTCCACTGTTTATTCCAGCTGTCTGCAAAACTCTTTTATACACTGCAAGTGAAACACTTCAGTGCATAAAAGAGGACAAAGGACATACCTGTGCATCCTCGATTGTAGCTTCTTGTAGCAAGACCTGCAGATGCATTTTAGGAACTGAGACAAGAGGAAGAACAGGGGACATGAGAAGGCATAAATTAGAGAAATGAGAAAACCCTTTAATCTTTCACTTGGGCTTGGCCTGCTTTCCCATGTATGTAGCTGATTCAACACGGGCTGTTTGAAGAGGTATAGAATAGGTATACTACTACATGTGAGGTCACATGAAATCATAGAGACTTATTGGGAAACGAGAGGTTGATTTTCCTGCTTTAGTAAAAATACTCCACCTGCTGGCTATCCTCTGCTTTTAGGGTGAAAGTTGTGAGTAAAAAAAATATCCTCACATATAAGGATATTCAAATTTCAAAGCATACTAAACTGCAAACTGCAAACTTCACTGCGGAAGATCAGCAGCAACAGTACAGTGTGTGAAAGTATTATTCTCCTCAATGTGCAGTGTTGTGATTTAGTTTGGTTTAACGTCCCTTTCACCCAGATTTATTTAGTCTGTTACAGGAAACACGTCAGTCGAAATGGATATTTTTATATGTATGTTGTTATTTTTACCTAAAAACGACACACACGGTTATTTTAATGTAAGGCTATAACAGACAAATCATATAAAAGACAGAAAGAATGTGATTATGTAATGTGGCCTTTTTAAAGAAATATACATTTCAAACAATTTTTTTGTTTGTTTAATTTCAGCTTTAGCAAGATCACTTTTGTTTTCACTTTTTCATTTTTCTTCCTCTATTACAAAGTTTTGCTTCATGCCAGTTACAGTATTCTGTTATGTCTGTTTTAGTATTAGGATGCCATACATGTGTTTCCATATTCAAGTCACGAAAGTATTTGAGATTTCTTTGATGATAATATTTTTTTTCCTGTTTCCTGCTCCTGGCTGATTTTTTGTTTTTATGTTTTATGATGTCCACAAACTAATAGGCTACATGTTCCTGACTATTTTAGAAAATATTTAGCATTATTGTTGTTCATTTGTTTGTTTCCAGTGATTTTATGTTACTGAGGTGCTTTGGAGTATAAAAACATTGTCCTGAAATACTGCCGTGACAAGCTTGTTGTCCACTTGCGCACATTCCTGTGAAACAAACAGCTGCTTCCTATAGTCATTTTACAATAAAACGAAGGGTTTATGTACAGTCATGACAGTCAAAGTAAGAACACCTTCTTTGAATCTGAAATGGGCCTGCCTGATCTCACAAGCAGCCTTCTGTCAAACAGGAAGTCACTAATCCCAGTGTAGGTGGGAGCAGGCGCATTCAGCCTGGAGAGACGTAGAGCTGGGATGATGGTGTTGAAAGCATAACTTTAGTGCAAGGGATCGAGGAGGGGGTCAATGATGGGTTTGAAATGTGACAACACAACATCCTCAAACATTTTCATTACTAATGAGGTCAAAGCAACAGGACTGTAGTCATCAAGGCGAATTTTAATTGTTTTTGAGAAACAGAAAAATGGTGGAGGCCTTAAAGCAGGCTGGCACATTTCTCCAGCGAGGTATTGAAGATATCAACTGAAGTACACAGTACTTTAGAAGTCTGCACAAGCTGTTTTGCAAAGGTTCTGTCTAATGAAGAGTCTATTTACATCTCTTTCAGAAGCAGCTTATGAAAAATTAAGTACACCCCATAAATTAATAGTTTATGGAGCCTCCTTTAGCAACAATAACTTAAAGTAATCGTTTTCTGTATGACTTGTCTCTTGCAGAGGAATTTTACCCTACTCTCTGTTACAGTGTTGCTTCAGCCCATTGAGGTTCAGGTTATATTAAGGTCCTGTCCTGTTGTATGAACCAGTTTTGACCAAGCTTTATCTATAAGACAGATGGCCTTACATTTGATTCTTGAATAATTTGGTATGCAGAGGAGTTCATGGTCGAGTCAGTAACCGCAAGAAGCCCAGAGCCCGTGGCTGCAAAGCAAATCCAAATCTTAACACCTACACACACTGCTTCTGCTTTTGGGTTAGTTTTTGCTAAATGACACATTGTAATATGTGTCATTTAGCAAAATGTGTCATATCTGTCATTTAGTTGATTGTCAGAGGTTTAATTTTCCTAATTTTGAGGCCTGCTAAGGATCAGATTATTTTTATTATGTCCTGATTTGTAAAACCTGTGAATTGAAAGATGGTGTACTTTCTTTTTGCCATGATTATAATGTGAAAAGAGGGATTGTAAGTGTTATCAGAAACTAATCAAATAAGCTAAAAGGAATTTGTTCTCTCCTTTTTCCTATACTAAATAAAAATATGTCTGGAAGCGTGGGAGGGTAATTCTAAATTAATACATTTGTATACGATACATGGATTGTGTGCAGCCATTTATAAATATAGTTGTGGTCAGAAGTGGAACGCTCATCATGGGCCTGAATTTCTTAGTAATTTTGAACTGTTCATTTCCCAGGATGGAACGATTGTACAGCATACATCTTTCTTTGTTCAAAAACCACTAATCTGAATTTATTTTGGATTTTCTCTAATCCACACAAGATCACAAGTGCACATGCAGGCTCAAATATATATATACACTCAAATATTTTAAAAGTTAAGGTTCTGCAGTTTCATTTCATTACTAACTTCGCATTGGTGATTATGATTGACTATAACTGTAGTTTGTCTTTGGCAGCATAAAAAGAATTTGTTTGACAGCACTCACTGGCCAACACTCAGAACAATGAGAAATTCCAAGGAACTGGAAACTGCTGGAAGACCAGTGTCAGAAACTGAGCTACTTGGTCACAATAACAGAGGGTATGTGTGGAGGGGCAAAGATGATGCTTTCAAATCTAAGAACACTGTACCAGCTCTTAAGCATGGTGATGCTAGCATCATTCTCTGGCGCTATTTTGCTGTCAGTAATTGTGGTACATTGCAGAAAGTGGATGGAATAATAAAGGAGTAGGACCACCTCCACATTCTTGCAAAGATAGTAGTAGTAGTTAGACAGAAGCTAGATAGTTAAAGCCAGAACACAGCTGGGTACTCCAGGTTAGGTTCATGACAATGACCTAAAACACAAAACTGGACCGAATAAATAACTGCATCTAATTATTGTTTTTTTTTAAGTCATTAAAGAAGTATGCTATGCAGTACTTAAACTTCTAACCACAACTTCATGCGTGCACAATATGTAGTTGGTTTGTGACACACAGTATTTATTTGTGTGATTGTGTTTTTCCTTCCTTCTTTAACTGTATGTAGGTTGATGATATGAAATTAAAAAAAATAAAATAAAAGTTGAAATAAATAAATAAAACTGGTTTTATGGGACGAATTCAAAGATGAAGAAGAGAATGTATGTCATTTGAACACACCGGATGAGCACCCTTCCCTTCCTCCTTTCGGCCGGGTTGGTGTGTCTTCCTTCCGGCTTTGCCGAAGAAAGTTGAGGGAGGTTCAGCAGCAACTGGGCTTTTACATAATGGACAGCCAGGGAAGGAAAGTGGTGGTCTGCGACAATGGGACCGGGGTAAGCTTACCGTTTTAGCTCGGCGTGTTACCAGCTCGAGTCTTGCTCTAAAAGGAGCCGTTATGTCGACTGATTTGCTGAAACAGGAAGTGGGTCTGTCACCGTCCAAGCTAGCTAGCGTTAACTGGGTGTGTAGCTAGCCAGTTAGCCTGCTAATTTTCATTCATCCAGTCCTGATGCGGAAACGGCCCGCGGATTGGATGGAAATGCACGGATAAAATTTAATTAAAATCTCTAGTTGTATTGCTCCCTCCTGCATAACTCCCTTAATTAATAGTTAACGTCCTAGGTGCAACCACCGGTTAGTAAGCTAACCGAGCTAGCCTTTCTAGTTAGCTTTTAACAGCTGGCTGTCTGGTTTCTGCTGTCTGGCAGCTACGTCAGTCATTTCAGCGATTTGTTCGGCAAACCACACGGAATTTGCAGATTCATTCTTTCCATGCTGTAGTCGGGGTTTGCTTTCCAAGGACCGGAGCTACATGTTTTTTCACTCAGTGTCGGCTAGGTGTAATGCTAGCTAGGCCGTGTCAGGTGAATTGAGGAACCACCTTTACGTTTTCTCATTCCGCAGCTTACACTAACTAAAAATTTAACCCAAGCATCCATTAGTAAGGAGTCCGGAAAGACCTCAGCAGGTGTATTTCTGCACGTATCTTTGGATCTGCACGTCGGCTGTGTGTTTACATGTACTTATTGATTAAAATTGGGGGCTAAACACTCGGAAGTTATGGGTGTGTAAAATGAAACATTGCGAAAGAGCCCCCACCACAAAGGAAAGTAACCACCATCCAAAAAGCTGCTCATATTTGCACTACATCAGATACATTTTTGTGGTCTTTTCGTCCCCAATAGTAATTATCAACATGAATGATATACTGCTGTATTTCCTTATAGCTGTACTCGCTCTTAATAAAATACTCAGCTTGTGCGCCATCAAGCATTTAATATAAACTTTACTGAGCTTTGTTTATGCTTCTAAATTGCTTCTTGCACACACACAGGTAGCACTGTTTCTTTTGGGGTGTGCAGGCTTCCTTGTCTAAACGTCAGCAGTCAAAGAGGATGTTGGCTCAGCATGTTACTGACTAATAAGGCTCTTTTGAGTTGTGAGTCTTTCAAGAGCTTTCTGTGAAACAGAGGGAAAAAACAGCCCTGTGTCAGAGTTGAACTGAGAAGTCAAGAGGAAGTGAGACGAGTCTGAACCACAGCCGTATATGTCACTAGCAGATTTGTTAAGAGCGTTGTTGCATGCTTTTTCACAGTCCAATGCAAATGCGTTTTCTTTTCTTTTCTTTTTCCCATGCAGAAAAAAGTTTAGACTATTTATTGTTTAGTTTACTCTTGATAGTCTTTCAATGAATTTTACCATAACGGTTTCCAAATTGCATGTTTGCAGTCTGCATCCCGTGTTACTTGGTTACATTTTGTGCTGGGTATTGATGCAAAAAATGTTTTTATAGTTGGTTCAAAGCAAATTAAATTGGTGCAAAAAAGGGTGTGTAGAATCAGAAAACAGCCAAATATTTTAATTAGAGCTAAAACAACTTCCTGTAACGGTATTTGCGGCTGATATTTTAGAGGTAATCGTACACCAGTGCACCCCTGATGCTATCTTTTCCTGGTCTTTGGTTATCTGAGCTCGTGCAACTATTCTAGCTGAGCGCAAAGAACAGCAAATTGTGTATATCTCCATTTGGTGTAAATGATAGTCTTTGTAGCTCTCACAAAATTGATTTTTACAAATGGTTCTAATAATATTTTATTTGTTGGTAATAACACAGAGGGGTTTTCATTGTATAAATGTGAAAATCACAGATGCAGGATATTAATGTTAAATATCTTTGTTTGTTTTTTGCATTAAAAAGGAAATTAGTTTTAGTTAAATTCGTTTTTTTTTTAGTTAATTAATGCAGGAACTGACCACATTTAGACATGCAGTACATGAAACGTGCATCGTCATCAAACATGCTCATTCTGAATGGTAATTGGGGTCTTTGTTATGATAGTAATGTTTTCAAGCTCTGTTCTAGAATTTATCTTATCAGTATTTTCTAATCACTTCCTCTGTGCTCTGGTTTTCTTTCCTTTTTGTCTCTCTATTGTAGTTTGTCAAGTGCGGCTATGCAGGCTCCAACTTCCCAGAGCACATCTTCCCTGCACTTGTTGGGAGACCCATCATTCGTTCTACAGCCAAAGTGGGAAACATTGAGATCAAGGTACAGACTGTTCCTCCTTATGCATTTTTTTCCCCTCAAGGAAATGGGTCATCGGACAAAAATATAAGTTGAAAACAGGAGAGGGAAAAAAAAATCAAGATGTGAAATATACATTACAGAATAAAGTCAGTCTCTTATATAAGCACAGTGTCAAAGTAATAGACAGTCAAGATGGACTGTTGTAAGAGTTGGCACCCTAATGAATCTCTGAAAAATGCTTTGAACACCAGCCCACATCAAAACTAGCAGGTCCTTTTATTTTAGCAGGCAAGACAGCAGCGGTGTAAATGTCTTGACAGCTTCACATTATTTTGGCATGGTGCCTATCTCTACCTTTCTCCTTGTCCTTTCCACTTTTGTTTGTTCATTTTTTTTATATATCTGCCTTCCTCCATGTTTTGTTCCTCTCCTGGTGAAGTAGAATGTCCAAAAAATGGTAAGTTTAGGTTGGTGTGTGCTTCTGATTCTTGCTTGCTATAGAGAGCTGAGTCATATAATGAAATTAAAAATTAAGCCTCTTGTTTGATTGAGTTTTTCTTTTGTTTTGTCCAGTGTGTTTCATGAATTAATTTTTTTCATCACTCATTCTGATCCCATTTTTGTACATCCTCATTACCTTTTGATTTTGGGTGCTAAGCTGGGTATTGCTGGCTGGTAAGGCCAATCCACAGCAGTTTTTTTTCTTTTTTTCTTTTTTTTCTCCAGGCTGAGAGTGTTAGCAGAAATAGCTGCAGTGAATCATAGGCCAGCTGTTATCGATGGAGTGCTAAAAGAGATTTTGGACCAGTTCCACTGTCAAAGTCTCTGATCTCCTGCTGCATCCTGACAGCTACCCTCCCACCAATCCTGAAGCACTTTTCAGTTGAAAACAACTTAAAATGTCACCCAGAGCAATGTGTGCCAAAGATCAGATTTTTCTGTATCTGTATGTATCATATGTATCTATTTTCCCAGCCATTTTGAAGCAGTCAGCATATTTTAATTGATTAATGTCCAATATGAAAAATAATTATTCTTTATTCTAAGTATAGAGGAAGTGCCCATACTTGAGGATGCATGGCAGACAGCTGTGGTGGAGATGGAAACACATCTGTTTTTCTTTCCTTTTTTCCCCCCTTCTTTCTTTCTTTTTTCTTTAATGACACCACATGGAGGCGATGCCTGTGACTGGTACTCATTAATGCCAAAGAGCACAGGATGAACCCATAAAATGGCTGCCTTCAGTAGGCTTTTGATGTCTCCAAGTGGAATGTGAGATGCTTGACTGTGTGGCTAACACTGAGCTCTAACCCAACAGTTGTTTACATTTTGCCGGGGTGCCTTGCATGCAGATAGTTGAATGTGGCTTAAACGAGTGGTGTACTGTAGCTAAAGGAAAGTGTTTCCAGGTGTATATGCATGGAAAATGATGCCTTGTTGTGCATGGTGGGTAATTGCGTTTTAAGTCAAAGTGCTACATGAATGCTTTTGTTGTCACATGACAGAAGTTTTCAGGTGGCAAGTAGGCAAATGAGATGACTGAGTTTAATTTCCAGACAGAAGCTATATACTCATCCTTTTGCTCAGTGACTCTGATTGTTCCACAGTGGGCTCCACAATCCTGAGGGCTCTGCTGCACTATTTTTAAATATTTATCTCTGTTAAATTTCCTGCAGGACCTGATGGTGGGGGATGAGGCTAGTGAGCTGCGCTCCATGCTCGAGGTCAATTATCCAATGGAGAACGGCATTGTCAGGAACTGGGATGACATGAAGCACTTGTGGGACTACACCTTTGGCCCAGAGAAGCTCAACATCGACTCCCGCAACTGCAAGATTCTGCTGACCGAGCCCCCCATGAACCCCACTAAGAACCGTGAGAAAATCATCGAGGTAACATTAAAATTGTCATTATCAGAGGCAGCATCTTGCAGTCTTTCGGGGGGAAATTGATTTTTAAAGCATAGCAGAAGTTGCAGTTTGGTTAATCCTCCGTGAAATGACTTCATTGTGTGCTACTTCTGCATTACGCTACAGAAATAATTTTGCACCCACGTTGCCTGCTGTAGTGTGTCAAGTTTCTCAACAGTTGTACTTCCTGTCCTCTACCACAGGTGATGTTTGAGACCTACCAGTTTGCAGGAGTCTACATTGCTATTCAGGCTGTGCTGACACTGTATGCCCAAGGTAGAGGCCTTTACATACATGTTTAGTCAAAACGGACACTAACCTTTTTCTGTTGCATAACACAGCTTTCATGTCACAGACATTTTAGACTTGTTCTTCTGCTTCCTTAAACTGCCTCATCTAGAAATTAATTTTAGCCCTAAGGTGCAATTATAGGCCCTTGAAGCGGACAGTTATAAAACGTATTGTACTATTTTCTTGATTACTATTTATGTCATTAAACTTAGAAACAAGACCGCTGTTAAAGTTAGTTGTGGAAGTTTTTGTGTAGCAGTATTTAGCTACCACACAAACACTTCTTGGTCAAAATGTTTGTTCTTACAGACTAACACAATCATATTTGTGCCAAAACATTTATCAGTACTTCTGACATCAACTGATATGTTGTGCAAACACAGCTTTGCGTGAGGTCTGTCTAGTATTCTACTATTTTTATCAGTTTTTTTTTTTTAAATAAACAATTACCTACTTATAACTGCTACTGAGCAGTTATAAGTAGGCAACTGTTACATTAGCTGTGTTATTGCAGCAGTTTTTGTGTGTGTGTGTGTGTTTACCCAGCCAGCAGTAATCAGCAGCTGCAAGAACACTCTGGATAAAATTCTCCTTGCTTAATAGAATTGCAGGTTATTAACTGTAGAGTATGTTTGTGTTTCAGGCCTTCTCACTGGTGTGGTGGTGGACTCAGGTGATGGTGTCACGCACATTTGTCCTGTGTATGAGGGCTTCAGTCTGCCCCACCTGACAAGACGTCTGGACATCGCAGGCAGGGACATCACCCGCTACCTCATCAAGGTATCCAGTTTGAATAATGTCATCAAAGTGTTTCTACGTGAGGTGGAGATTTGGCAAAATATTCTTAGATTAATCTTTAAATAGCAGGTTCTGTGAGAACTCCATTCTAACATCCGATTTCCAAAATGTGCTGCTGAATGCACAAGTTTGAATATGTTTTGCAGCGTATAAAAATATGTCAGTTTTTTTTAAAATTTTTTTTTTTATGTGAAGTCTTGCATATGTCATCAGATTCTTTGTTTGCAACTTAATGGGAAGATCTTAATTTAGAAAAGCTCCTCCAGTGCAACTTGATATATTAGAAGATTACATTAAATGAGCCAAAGCGTCTCATTTTATTCTGCTTTTCCTTCCCTATTCCCTGACCTCTTTCTCATTCTCCATGTGCAGTTGTTACTGTTGAGGGGTTATGCCTTCAACCACTCTGCAGACTTTGAGACGGTGCGCATGATGAAGGAGAAGCTGTGCTATGTAGGCTACAACATCGAACAGGAGCAGAAGTTGGCGCTCGAGACCACCGTGCTGGTGGAATCATACACGGTAGACACTCGCATGTTTATTCTTAACAGTAATAAGTCACTGACAAATGCAGTTGCATTACATTGTGAGAGAACTGATCCACATGTTTGATGTTAATCCCAAGCTGGTCGGTACAGTTGCCTTATGAACGCCAATAAAAGATTTTAGGGTGTGCCGTTTTGGAAAGCGTTATCAAAACACTGCAGCTTGCATAAAAAGGGCGTTAAAAATGATTGCTGCCCTCACATGGGCATTGTGTGCATTAGTCACTCAAGAAGCCGAGCTTTATATAACAAAAATGCAGTAAAATAATGATAACAAAAATCTAAATACAGTAACTACATACATTAATAGTCATTAACTCAAGTATACAAGTCAGCAGCTCTGTGCATTGAATCTTTTTAAAATTTTATTCCAATTTTGGCTTTCAGTGAGTCATATCACTTTCATTTATCCAGCACAGTTTAAAAAAACAAGACTTCGACTCCACTCCCGAAAACACACAACCCGTGAAAACAAACACTAAAATTACAAATTGCAATGATGATAATAAACAAATGAATAAAATCTGGTTCTGTTTTGTAGTGGTTAACACATTTGTCTAACGCACAAAAGGTCTCCAGTTCAAGAGTCAGAATAGGCAAAAATTGCTGGGAGGGTGTCCGGGGTAAAAGTCTGTGCCAAATCAAATATGCAGATATATCCTCTGTCATGACACCTTGTGAATAAGGGAGCAGTCAAAAGAAGCTTTAAATAAAAACTAAATATTAAAAAAAAATTAGTAATTATTTTTTTCATCAAAAAACAAGTTTAAATCCATAATTATTCCAAACCTTGAGTATTATATTTATTAAATAATTGTCACGGTAACCAAGGAGCCCTACCCATCAGAGGTACAAATGTGTAAAAACCGATTGAAATTCTGAAATGTATATTTTTGGCATATTAAACATCTATTTTATTTAGGTTGAATGTTTTTACAAGTCAGCAAATTTCCAGCCCTGAGGGGTTGCACTTTTTTTTGTTTTGTTTGTTTTGTTTACTTTTCCCTTTAAAATGAGTTCTTTTTACACACTCCACATGTGCACAAGTTTCAAATTTCTGCCTAAAATAGCACCGGTGCAGACAGAATCCCTCCCAAAGGATTTGTTATTCAAAAGTGGCAGTATTTTGAAATAATCAAAACTAATGGGGTAACTAAATCTGTTTCAGCACTGAGCTAAGTAGACTACCACATGCCCACTGTTGGTGCAGTTGGCAGCTTTGGTACAGGACAGTGCTACTGACTAACAGTTTTCTCTGAGACTCAGACATATGGTGGTGCAGTGCTCCTCCGTCAGGCTTGCTTTTCTTTCCGAGGTCCATTTCCCTGCAGAGAGAACCACAGAATCCAAACGTTAGTCCTGGTGTCTGTGTTACTGCACGCCTTTCCGAGCACATGTTGTGTCTCAGTGCGCTCTGACCATGTGTGTTTGGGTTAGTGTAGGCGACTGTGTGCGTGTAGGTGAATAGGTGCGTGAACATGTATGTGTAAGTATGGTTTTGTGTGCCGAAACAAGGAGGGCAATGTACCTGTGGCCGAAAGGTCCTGAATTGCGCGTTACATCATTTCCTGTGCAGCCACTTTGCGGCAGTGGCTAGGCTCTGTTTCCTCCCACTGCCCTTGGCTGAATGAAGCCTTTTTATAGTCACATGCATTCACTATAGTCAGTTTGAGGCCAGCACTCTCCGTGCTCTAACTTGCTGTACAGTGTCACCAGTCTGGGAGGATTTTCTTTTCTTTTGAGAAGTTAAACCTTCCTTTCAGTTTAAATCATGATTCTCACTGTAGAGTTTCACACCCTTGGGCACTCTTGTACATTAAATCTTACCTCTTCATTAGTGTCATGTTGTTGTTTTTTTTTTTTCTCCCCCTCTTTGCTTTTTTTTTTTTCTCATCCTCCCACACAACTCCAGCTGCCAGATGGCCGTGTGATCAAGGTGGGAGGAGAGCGGTTTGAGGCCCCTGAGGCTCTGTTCCAGCCCCACCTCATCAACGTGGAGGGCGTTGGAGTGGCCGAGCTACTCTTCAACACCATCCAAGCAGCTGACATAGACACCAGGTGAGGCCAACAAAAGGGCACATGTATACTCCACTATCAATAAAAAGCTTTCCTGAGGGTGACTCAGTGTTTCCACAGCATTAGGAAGTTTCAGCAGAGGCAGACGTTTTGGCAAGCAATAGATAGATGGATGTCAAATGGCAATGTCAGCTGATCACAGCTTTCGCTTAAGCAATGGAGGCTTTTAGACTTAAAACTAAATATTTTGTGAAGTCTAGAGTTCAGTATGGAAAGTTTGAAAATTGATCATGAGTCTTTAAAAGAATGGAACAAGGGGGAAAAATGTAAACACTTGCAAGTCAACTAAGTATGACTGATCCTTTGCTGCTTAAGTTCAATAATTTATTTTTACTCTCTTGAAGTCACTGAAGAACTGTTTGGAAAGTACATTTTCCAGCATTTGCTGACTTAAACTGAGAAAATGTGCCTTTTCCTGCTTTCACCCTTTTCTGCCTTCCTGTCATCAGGCCTGAGTTCTACAAACACATCGTTCTCTCAGGCGGATCTACCATGTACCCCGGCCTGCCATCTCGGCTGGAGAGGGAGCTCAAGCAGCTGTACCTGGAGCGTGTGCTCAAGGGAGATGTGGACAAGCTTTCGGTGAGAAACCAGCCCTCTCCTATAAAGTGACATGTAGTACTGACTGTGAGCAAAAACTGCTCAAATATGATTCACAGTATGATTGTCACTTTGAAAAACTGGGACATTTATTTTAGCTCATTAGATCTATCCAGTGTGATTTTTAAAGAGTGCTCTAGTTATAGAAAGGAACATAGAAGTCTGCATCTGGCCTCTGGTTTGAAGTAAAACATTTCCCCTGATTCTCACAATTTGTTAAAGATCTTCAGTACGGCTTTTCCCACATGTTAGAGAGCATTGAAGTCCCAGAAGGAAGCACAGGGAACATGTTTCTCAAGGATGTAAATGACATCTCGCTGTGTTTTCACACACCTTGAACTTAAACCGCATGCAGCTATCATGTCTGAACCTTGCCCGTTTCAAGCACAAGACTGGCTTTATGAATTTTTTAGTGCAGTGTAGACAAACTACCACAAGGTAGTGCCAGAGGCCAGACGCTCCTTTAATTTAAACAAGCGTGCAGTTAACTTCATAGTGACAAATATTTGTTTTGGTAAAATATTTCTACCTTTTCATGTCGGTATCCCAAAGACACAGATGATTTTAAACAGAAGTATTTTATAAACAAAGCTCAGCAGATGACTCATAGGTTTAAAGAACACATCATTATGTGCTTTACTTTTCTGCCTGCAACTGCAATCGACCCCAATTTTCCCAGATTGTCTCATTTTTTTTTTTTTGAATTGAATTGAATTGAAGTCTGCAAAGTTAGTGTGGGAATCCAATGATAGGTTTTTTTCCCTTTATGAAAACTCTTCAGAACTAAAAAGATGCTGATGAGTTTTTGCTAGAAAGAAACTGCTTTGTTGAATGTCAGTTTCAACTCTAGCGTTAACTAAACCACAGTCAGTCTTGCTAGCACTTGTTTTCCTGCTAGAATATGGCAAATACACCACCTCCTTGTGTAGCTTGCACCTTTACAAGTTTGTTAGTACGTTTAGACAGCCAGTCACGTGAGCAACAAACAGAAGCAGCATCCTTTGCCCTATTTGGTGAAAATATGAGTGTTTAAACATGCCACACAGAAGTAGATTGTGCTGAAGTCTATGTTTGTGTTATCATTTTTCTGTGCTGAAAACACAAATTGGACTGCCTGTGAATCTGATCACAGCTGTCATGAGGTCGCTTTAAAGCAGCATTGGTCTGTGTTTTTGATTATCAATTGATCAGATGACTCTGTAATTTGCAAGGTCTCAGTTGTCGTGATAAAACCACAGAGTTATCAGCTCACGCTGTGATTCCTGCTGGGTCTTAAAGCAGCATTTTACTGCCTGTCACCTGATTGTTTTGGTCTTATGATAGAAAGTTTATTGTTTTCGCGTCGGTCTCTGAGCTCTCAGTCGCATCGATTCCATGCAGGCAGCTTTCTTCCTATATTTCCCTCAGGAGCTGGAAAACTCCTGAGACAAATGCAGATTCTCACACAATCGTGATCATAACAGGATCCATTTTATTAGACTAAAAGCTTAGCATTTGTTGGTCGGACCAGTCAGCTTCTTGTGGCAGCTGTGTGTTTTAGCTGCAGTAAAAGTCTACGTGTTGTAGTGGTGTACAGTCTCCAGGTTATTCTTTGTTTGTGCTCTCTCTGTAGCCATGTAGCCTTGTTTTGAATTCTTTAATCCATATACCAAATAAGAAATGTAAAAACACGAACAAGGTAGTAAAATATTTCTATAATTAATAATGGTGTTGTTTAATGCCTTTCTACAGTTTCACACTAACATTTCCATGACAACAGTGACCTCCTTCAGTCATAGATGTTGCCGTTTCAGTTATTCACTACTTCTTTATTTTTGTTAAAACAAGGTTGATATGTTGTAGATTTGTGGTTGGTGCAGGAGTAGAAACCATCATTTCACAGTGTAGCTCATAGTAAATCTACTTTAGATGATTATAACATTATGGCTCATAATCAAATCCCTATGGAGAATATAAATGGGATTTTCAGTTCCTGAACCTCACTGTCGTGTTCTGTTAATACCCACATTAGCCTGTGATAGACAGAGGCCTCATCCAGTCACCTGTCAAGAGCCTTTAAATGAAGAGCTTCCCAGTTACAGGCACTGTAAATTTGACTGGTCACATATTGGCTCCAAATGTTTCCTAATGTCTCATAGGTCATAACAGTTTTTGCTCATTAAAAAAAATCGACCTCAGTTATTAATCACATGTATGTATGTGATGGACTACAGAGGCGCCCTGCAAGCTAGCGTTTCAAATTCACGTTACTGTTATTTGTTAACAGTAAACTTGCGAGTGAACACGGGTTGATTTTCCAATTTTCAATTTATTCTTGTGGTTTTTTGCAAGCGGAAGCTCCTCGGAAGGTTTAAACACACTTAAATGTGTTTTATATTTTAAATGTCACAAAAAAAACATGTTAGTTACACCTGGCTAAACCAAGCTGTCCAATCCTACTATAGCGCAGTTCTCAAGTTTGCTGTTGGTTTAGACTGTAAAAAATTGAATTCAGCATGTTTTCGATAGAAAATCCTTCAAACATTTGGTGTTTGTTTTGTTTTTGTTTTTTTGTTTTTTTTATTTATTTGAGGAAAGTCTTGGCCTGTTTAACACTTTTCTGGCTGAGGTGCATGTGAGAGTGCAGTTATCCACCACCATGCTGGTCACGTATTAGCTGGTCCTTATCCTGCCAGTTGTCCAGTACAGAGGCCCTGTCAGATATCAGATCACGCCAGTGTGCAAAAAGCTCAACTAATATTTAAGTGCATTTAATGCTAGCAAGAGGACATCATGTGTCCTGCCTCCTGTAGTCTCTAACTTAAGCAGCTCCTGTTGCCTGAACCACATGAAATATTTTCAGTAGCTCAACTCTAGTTGTTCTTTCTCAATGTTAAAAAGTGGACAACTGTGGAAATCAGCAAAAAATGCTTGTATTTCTTTTCTTTTCTTTCTTTCTTTCTTTCTTTCTTTCTTTTTTTTTTTTTGCTTGCTTGCCTTGCCGGCTGTCTGGAGGCGGTGTATGTGTATAAACTTAACATGAGGCTGCTTCGACAGCGGACTGTGGTTAAACTATTTTTATTAAGAGAGCTCACGCCATCTGAAGCCAAGGAGCTCATTGTGTCAAGAGTTGGGTAGCCATGAATTCATAGGAAGAACTGACAGTTAAGTAAAAAGTATTATCATAATTATACCTAATTATCTTCTGGTCTTAAGCTTGTATCAAGTTAGTTTCTATCTGATTTAGACCACTCGAATTTTGATATAAATCTCCTTGACATTGATTAGAAAAACATGTAGACTTTTGGGAACTTTGAGCAGTATTGGCAACTCATCATTCTCCTCTGTGTTTCTTTTCCTGTAGAAATTTAAGATCCGGATTGAGGATCCTCCCAGGCGAAAGCACATGGTGTTCCTGGGTGGAGCCGTGCTGGCCGACATCATGAAGGACAAGGACAACTTCTGGCTGACCCGGGAGGAGTACCAGGAGAAAGGAGTCCGTGTACTGGAAAAACTTGGAGTGACCGTCAGATAAAGCACTGGACGGACAGAACACCCACACGACATAATAATACACACACACACATGAATATACACACAAACGCACACATACACGACATGCACACATTTCCACCCCTTGCCCACATCGCAGAGTATATATCTATTTATCCCTGTTCCTCTCTGTTTCGGCCGTTGATTCCCTTCAAACACCGCAGGGAATCCAGCCATCACCTTCCCGCTCTCTCCTCTCTCTCTCCACTCTGCCTCTCTGCCTCTCTCTCTTCTCTCCTGGTTTGGGATTGGTTCACACTTTTCCTCGCAAGCCCCAAGAAACCAATTCCATCTTTGCAGATTTCCACTGATTCTTGCTGAGTGCTGGTGGGAGAAGGTTAAGAGCTGTCAATGCAGCATATTTACCTGCAGATTAGGCTTGTTGTGAATTAACACTTGTCGGGTAAACCGACCAGCCTCAGCAGAAAGCTTAGTTTCCTCCCTTGTTAAACCTGTAGAGGAGATAAAATGATGCAAAGTTTCTAAGCAACTCGTAAGCGTCTGTAACGTCACAATCAGGGTCCACCACAAACAGCCACGGGCCGCTTTGAGCATCTTTTCCGGGTGAGCGAGAACTGATCACATTTTTATGTCGGTTTTTATAAATGATATCATGACTTTTCTTTTCTGGGAGAGGGATTACTTTGTTTTTGCTTTTTTCCCTTTTTTGTTGGATGTATGAGTTTGATTTCCATCTTTAAATTTGACTCTTTTCTTTTTCATTGACTTTTGTTGCTGTGCACTGCTACCATTGTAAATGGAGTGTATTGTAGTAACAGAAGGTCCTCCATGTGTTTTGTTTTCTTATTTTATGAAGAATTAATGGTTGATTTATAAAGGGACAAATACACAAACTAAAAGCCCCTGAGCTTGACATCGAGTGTGTGACGGTACTTTAGGGGTTCGTTGGTGGTGACACAGTGATGGGGTGTGGGGAGGGTTAGTATTTTTTTTTCCTCGTCAGACAGCTTGGCCTCTGCCTCCTCTCTGGTTATAAATCAGAAGTTGAATGAATGGGTGTGAGCAGTTATAGCAATATTTCAAACTGTATCGACGCTATAGTACCTCACTCATCGTGTTCCTCCAGATCCACCAAAGCACGGAGGCAGTGGCAGGTTTTAGGATGAGATCTGTTTAAATTTGGACACCTGGAGCATCACAAAGCTGGGAAATTAAAACAGTATATTATACGGCTTATTTAAGTTCTCCAGACTTTCATTCCCAACGGTCGACTTAATGATTACTGGAGGCACTTCTATTTTGATTACGATAAATGTGTATATTTTTTTTCTCCTCTTTCCATGAACGTCTATCCAGTGCCAAGTGCAGTTAATGTTAACTGGATCTCATGTTTTAATGTCTTTCTTTTTGTCACAGTTTTTTGTTTTTACTTTCCTGTGTTGTTCATAGCATAACTGCCTAACGCTGATTTAAATAAAGAAAAGTGATTTATAAGGATGTTTGTGTGACAGGTTCCTTCTTTTTTTCTTTTTTTGGCACATGAAGCTTCTGTTTCACAAATTTATGGCTCGGAATAAGAAATCCTGACCATTGATTTGTAAATATTTATCTTTTGAAGTCTATATTTGCGAGTAGGGGGCAGATTAAATGGGTTGATTAAGTACAATGACAGGAGAAGGGTGTAGGTGGCTGAGGCTCATCCACAGAAGAGGACGAGACCTCTGCTCACAGACCCGAAGGAGGAAGAGGAAATGGAACAGCGGCAGAGCACTGGCGCCACCAGAGGAAGAGGCTCTCTTTCCGTGCCTGAAATAAAGATCGCACCCAGACTCTTCCGGCCTTGTTCCATTTTAATCCCTCGACTCTTGCCACTTCCCTCTTAACCCTGAACTATTACCTCAGGAGCGCCGTTTGAAATTTCCTCCCCATCAGAGCACAAAGGGCATCACGTAAGGATGTTTGCAAAAGTAGTTTGGAGCATTTCATTGTTTTTTTTTATTTTTTTATTTATTTTCTGTCACTTCAGAATATGTATTCGCTATGAAATGAGTTAAAAATCCGCCACATGGAAACATGAACTTTACACATTTTAAATGGTGCACTCAAGTTCCCCCGAACAGCTTCTGAATAAACTTTGTTTAGCAATTTAAGACTAATAAAAATAATTCTTCTTTAATACTTGTTTTCCTATAGTTTTGCTGCCCAAACATTCTCTCTAAACTCTCTAGTCAAAGCATTATCCACAGGGTGGGAGTAGAGAGACATTTCCTCTCAGCAGTCTTTATCTCATGTTCAGGCAATCAAAAAAGTATGCTGAAGCAACTATCTCTTCGAACTTTACATCTGTAACGTCTCTGTTCAGTTTGAGTTAATCAAGCAGTTTTCGACCTGATGCAAAAACAGAACAGGTTAAAATGCTACAAAGGTAATACTCCCCGAGTTAACTGTTGAACAAAATCTTTGTGGTAAGGAAGGAAAAACATTAAATCCTGCCTATCTTTGGGCATGGGACCACGGCCACCCATTCCTGTAAACTGCACTGGGAAGTGAGCGCCGGTGCTTGTGCACCCAGAGAGGGGCCATGCTGACCCCATTACACGAGCAGATATCTTAAATGCTTGCACATGTGGACCGCGATGCTGTTTGCAGCCGTTGAGCTGCTTAGCAGGCCCCCAAAAGCCCTCAGGGACCTTCTTTCTCTTCTCTTTTCTCTTTCCCTCCCCCTCCCCTCACTTGCTCCATCATTATCGCCCACATGCTTTTCCAGAGACATCCTGAGTGAAACAGCTCGACGTCCTCGATGGCTATCACATGTTCCTCCTGTGGAGGGAGGCAGCTCCCCTGGAAGACATGTTGAGGAGAATAAGACAGGCTGTACTAGCCTCAGTTTTTCTTTGTGCTTTCTTTCATCAAATATGTTGCAAAACTTTTTAGAAGTTTCAAAGTCATAGGGAAAACTTGTGGCTTTGACATTTTTTTGAATCCTCTGGGTCTCCTCGTGAAATCACCCTTTCTCTTTTCATGAAAAGTGATTTATAACGATGTTTGTGTGTTAGGTTCCTTACATCAAACTTCTTCTGTTAGCTATTACCTCACTAAGTTCTACCACGATTTAAAACTGTTTAGGGACTTCATATAACCCTATATTGGATTTTTCAGTATATTTGATCTACATTTAATCAACTTCTTTCAGATGCTGGAAGATGGACCTAATAATATAAATCATTGTTCTCTAAATCTTTCTCTATCTTCTTGGACTTGCACTGCAGCAGGAATTGAGGCCAGTTTTTTTACACAAACCCCACCCACCTCAAAAAAGAAACAGAAATACAGGTCTTATTTTTGAAGGGTTCACCAGAGGATAAATCCTACTGACTTTGGAGATTTCTTGTATTATTATTGGAATTGGTGGCTGTGGTCCCATGCCCAAAGATAAGCAGGATTTAACTTTTTTCTCCTTACCACAAATATTTTGTTCAACAGTTACCTTTGCAGCATGTTAACACGTCCTGTTTCTGCATCAGGTCTAAAACTGAACAGAGATGTTACGGATTTAAAATTTGAAGATACAGTTGCTTCAGCATACTTTGATTGCCTGAAGTTGAGATAAAACTGCTAAGGGGACACGTCTCTCTACTTAGGGTCATTGTAGTGTCACTGTTGTTTTGGAGCACACTGGGGAGACCACGGCCATTGGGGAGGGCTGTTGCAATGAGGGGCTGTGCTTCATGTGCAATGATTCCTAGGTGGGTGGTACATGTCAAAGTAAAAACCACATGGATAAACTTTTAAGCATACCACTGAATTCTAAACCTCCAGGTGATTTTAACACTGCTGATTTCTGTATGAACAAATGAAAAAAATATATAACTTAATTTTATTTCAGCTTTACAAACTTATCAGTAATGGCATAACTGATGTGTGCTTACAGTTACAATAACGTATCTCCTACTTTTACTGATGGGTTGAGTATAACGGTTTGTATAGTCAGTATATTGTAATTAGCTAACTGTTTCAGTTGTTCATAGCTAATCGTTTCATGAGTAAAAACAGGACGTCAACCACCTTGCCACTAGGAAAAAATCAATGGCTGCCCAGTGACTGAATTATTTTGCTGTCTGAGACTGTTTTAGAAGTAGTTTCCATGAAGATCTGGTTGCTCAGAGGTTGACTGTGCAACATCCTTATCCTTTGGGCGACCACTTCTGATTGCAAGTTGAGTGCAGTTGCTTGCTTGCCTGTCTCGAAACAACTGGAGTCTGTCCCAGAGTTAGCACTCCCAGACAGATTGGTCAATGATCGATCTTTTTTATAAATGTAGACAGACTGCCAGCATATTGCAATGAGTAAGTTAGTCTGCACTGCAATAGGACACTTGACTCAACTGGTTATGAGCTGGTTACATTCCAATATCAACAGAAGATTGTTGTGGGATCTTTAAGGAAAGACTAAAATAAAGCTGTAGACTTCTTTTTTAAAAATCGTTTTCTCTCATTTTATTGGAGGCGGAAGGTAAGACACACATTTCACTTTTCTCACAAACCTGGCCACCCTTCAGTATCTACAAAGTACTTCCTGTTCCTTCTTGAAAAGCAAGAACTACATCCATTGTACATGTTAGAAACAGTTATTTAAAAAAAATAGAAATAAAAATGTACAACATACACTTGATATATATAATATAATTTTTTGCTCTTTTTTACAGAGGTAAAAATACTAAGCATAAAAAATGGGTCTAATTCAATACAGGGAGTTTCTTACATTTTTCAATTTAAATACACAAGGAGATAATGAGGATGCGTTCAGGCACTTGTAAATGGCTCTGCATGTGAGAACACCAAACAAGATGGAGGTAAAAGATGACATGCTGACACACATACGCACACTCTTTCCAATCTGATTGGCCCCTGTCCCTGATCGATCATCAAAAGCATCTGAATCTACTCAGAAGGTGTCCATATGTCATAGCAAATTTAGCTGATCCCAGTAGCTTTGGATCAAGGAGCAGAAAAGGATGAGCAGATCTGGAATATACGCCAACACACACACACACACACACACACACACACACACACACACACACACACACACACACA